AAAAAAAAAAAAAAAAAAAAAAAATTCATACTTGGCCAGGCGCAGTGGCTCACACCTGTAATCCCAGCACTTTGGGAAGGCTGAAGTGGGCGGATCACCTGAGGTGAGGAGTTCAAGAGCAGCCTGGCCAACATGGTGAAACCCCGTCTCTATTTCAAACAAAAACAAAAACCAGCTGGGTGTGGTGGTGGCGCCTGTAATCCCAGCTACTAGATGGGCTGAGGCAGGAGAACCGCTTGAACTAGGGAGGTGGAGGTTGCAGTGAGCTGAGATCTTGCCACTGCATTGCAGTCTGGGCAATAAGAGCAAAACTCCGTCTCAAAACACAAAAAAAATTCATACTCCTTATAGAGCTCAAATAGCACCAAAGTGTATAAAGTACAAAATAAAAGGCCGGGCACGGTGGCTCATGCCTGTAATCCCAGCACTTTGGGAGGTGAAGGCAGGCGGATCATGAGGTCAAGAGAGACCATCCTGGCCAACATGGTGAGACCCCCATCTCTACTAAAAATACAAAAATTAGCTTGGTGTGGTGGGGCACGCCTGTAGCCCCAGTTACTTGGGAGGCTGAGGCAGGAGAATTGTTTGAACCCGGGAGTGGAGGTTGTAAAGGGAGCTGAGACTGTGCCACTGTACTCCAGCATGGGTGACAGAGCAAGACTCCGTCTCAGAAACAACAACAACAGCACACAAAAATAACAAAAGTTAGGACGGGCGCAATGGCTCACGCCCATAATCCCAACACTTTGGGTGGCAGCGACAGGTGGATCGATCACCTGAGGTTAGGAGTTCGAGACCATCCTGGTCAACATGGTGAAACCCTGTCTCTACAAAAGATACAAAAATTAGCTGGGGCCGGGCGCGGTGGCTCACGCCTGTAATCCCAGTACTTTGGGAAGCCAAGGTGGGCTGATCACCTGAGGTCAGGAATTCAAGACCATCCTGGTCAACACGGTGAAACCCTGTCTCTACAGAAAATACAAAAAATTAGCGGGGCATTGGTATTGAGTGCCTGTAATCTCAGCTACTTGGTAGGTCGAGGCACGAGAATCGCCTGAACCCTGGAGGCGGAGGTTGCAGTGAGCCGAGATCGTGCCACGGCACTCCAGCCTGGCAACAGAGTGAGCCTCGGTGGAAAAAAAAAATGTACAAAATAAAAATCTCCCATTTCTAACGCCTTCTCAGTGCAGTCTCTCTCCCAAAAGTGTAATAAGTATAGCTGACATTTATTGTTTACTGTTTGCCAACAAGTATTCTAAGCACTTTTTTACATGTATTAACTTTTCTTTTATTTTTTTGAGATGGAGTTTCGCTCTTGTTCCCCAGGCTGGGTGCAATGGTGTAATCTTGGCTCACTGCAAACTCTGCTTCCTGTGTTCAAGTGATTCTCCTGTTTCATCCCCCCGAGTAGCTGGGATTACAGGTATGCACCAACACACCAGGCTAATTTTTGTATTTTTAGCAGAGATTGAGGTTTCACCATGTTGGCCAGGCAGGTCTCAAACTCCTGACTTCAAGTGAGCCTCCTGCATTGGCTTCCCAAAGTTCTAGGATTACAGGTGTGAGCCATGGAGCCTGGCCTAATTTATTATTTTTTTCTTTTCTTTTTTTTCTTTTCTTTTTTAAAGATGGGGTTTCACCTTGTTGGTCAGGCTGGTCTTGAACTCCTGACCTCAGGTGATCTGCCCGCCTTGGCCTCCAAAGTGCTTGGATTATAGGCGTGAGCCACCACGGCCAACCCATTTTTTGAGACGTGGTTTCTCTATGTTGCCAAGGCTGAATTGGCACTCCTGGGCTCAAATGATCCTTCCACCTTAGCCTCCCAAGTAACTGGGACCATAGGTCCGTGCCACCATGCATGCTTTGTAACTTACACCTTATAAGAACCCAAAAAGTGCTGGGCGTGGTGGCTCAAGCCTGTAATCCCAGCACTTTGGGAGGCCGAGGCGGGTGGATCACGAGGTATCGAGACCATCCTGGTCAACATGGTGAAACCCCGTCTCTACTACAAATACAAAAAATTAGCTGGGCATGGTGGCGGGTGCCTGTAATCCCAGCTACTCAGGAGGTTGAGGCAGGAGAATTGCCTGAACCCAGGAGGCAGAGGTTGCGGTGAGCTCACGCCATTGCACTCCAGCCTGGGTAACAAAAAAAAAAAAAAAAAAGAACCCAAAAAGACAGATACTATCATTATCCTCATTTTACTAATTGGAAACTTTCACTGGTTGGGTTCTCTGGGACAAGAGGGAGTTTAAAGCACAGGATGTTTACTCACTAAATATAGACATTGATTGATCTCAATATGGACCAACTTCAGTCCGTAGATTATTAGAAAACCCCCTGCAGAAAATCAACAGATTTCACTCAAATAGCATACTTTATGTATATATGTTTTTTTTTTTTTTTTTTTTTTTTTT